AACTACGCCTTATGCAGGCTGGGCTCGAAAGGGGCCTTGAAAGGTTTTTGACTTTGGAACAAACTGAGCATCAAATACAGAGAACTTGTATACTGGGTAGATGACAAATAACATGTACTTGAACTTTTTCCCAACATCATTTAGGTTTAAACTGTGTAAGAATATAAATAGTTCACTGAAAAGCAAGATTCACTTGTTTAAAACACCCCTAAATTGTATTAACATTTACTATATAATCATTATTTCGCAAATTAACATCTAAATAAATACATCTCTATGGAAACTAATTTATTATCTCCGCGAGCGTAACATCAGGCTAGCCTATAGTGTGTACAAGGTTATATTCTCCATTCGCACCCACCCGCTCCCGCTATATATTCACTCTTTGTTCAACTGCAGTCCGCTTAGAATAATTTTCTTCCTGACCCTACCGTTCCCGCTAAATGTAAATCTCGTTTCCAGAATCTCACATTTAAATTTCCACTACTGAAAGAGAGAGAAATAACAAATAAAAATGTAGTCTGCACTACACCTCTAGAATGTAGATCTCTAGCTTCCTCCTGCAAATACCTTGTGATGACAGTGATGACCTCAACACCGCAGTCGGCATCTCATTACCGCGGTAATGCGGTTATCCTCACAGCCCTATGACAAATTACATTTTAAAAGTAGTCACTCAATTAGTATGATTTCATAAAAATAAACTGTTGTTTTAAAGTTTCCAATTAAGTGCAGGTACATCTCAAAAAATTAGAATATTATGAAAAAGGTCAATATTTTTTGTCACTCATTTCAGAAAGTGAAACCCATATATTATATAGATTCATTACACAGAGTGAAATATTTCAAGTCTTTATTTCTTGAAATTTTGATGATTATGGCTTACAGATAATGGTGGTCAGTGCTCTGTAGCGCCGACCCGAAGGCAACAGTTCGAAGAGAGAGTGGGCTGGGTGTGAGGGGTCCAAGGTGATTTTTTTATGGGTTTCCCTTTCTGAAATGAGTGACAAAATGAAAATTATTAATGATTAATTATTATTAATTAATATTATTAATTACTTATGAAAATTTTTAAGAGATTATTTTATCAATTTTTATTTAATGGGGGTGGGGGGGAGGGGGTCTATAATAAACAGCCATCTCATAATTTTATAGGGATGGGAAGATAAATTGATTCATGGATCGATTCTCCGACTTTTTGAATGCATCGCGATTCTTTCTGGAATCAATTCTGAGCTTAGTTTTAAAGTAATACTTCAAATTTATCGTCCCACCCCTATAATTTTAATGTGAATATTATTGGATAATCCAGTAAATTCAATTAAATGAGCTTCATCTTATTTACTTTTCTCTTTTCAGTAGGAACTTGTTGGATACACATCAAAAGATACGATTATTCATAAAGAATTACATTGGACATAACAAACAGAGGCAAACTAGTATCATAAAACAGAAAATTCAGAATAAATTCTGACTGAACGAACTAGTGCTGTTCTCGATACATCGATACGACAATGTATCGTCACAGAGATTTGACGATACGTGTATCGATAAAGCTGGCCCTGTATCGATATCGCAGCACGTGTGCAGCAGTAGACCGCGCTTAATTTGAATACAAGAACACCGTTTAAAATGGAGTAGAAAAGTGTGAGGTTTCTAAAAAATAATGAATAGAGCATAATATATATATAGGCTACAACGAGGTTTAATCTGGCCGCAGAGGAACACAACCGGGGTTGCCTGATATAAAGAGATGCAATCCCTGAAACATAGCTTCCCACTTGCGCAATACAGAAATATATGCTAAGTGTGCTACTTATCTTTGTCAACCTGGCAACCATGAGCACGCGCTGTCTCTCCACTGTGGATAAACGCGCTTGCTTTCTGAAAACACTGGTAAGCTTGCAGTTTAGCGAGCTCCACTTCAAAATTCTATTCTCAGAAAAGTGTAATTCATCAAGTTAGGGCTGCACAATTAATCAAATTTCTAATCGCGATTACAATTACGGATGCCACAATTACATAATCGTTCAAAGCAGCAATTAATCGTTCAAAGTCCACTTATGTTATTCTGCATGCTTAAGATGCTTTTTGCAAGAGAGATGCATTTTTTTACCATGCATATTTTTACTTTTTTATTTAAAGAAGAAACCAATCCAATGTATAGCTGACATTTGAGGCTTAATACTATAGAAATACAATAAAAGTTTTTCAGTTAGTGTTTTCAGCTTGTTTATTTTCATATGAAAATAAAAATATGGCATGCAGTTGCTTCAAACAAAGGTGTAAACATAATTTAATCGTAATCAATAATCGCAATTACAATTTCAAAGGAATAATCGACAATTATGATTTTTGTCATAATCGTGCAGCCATACATCAGGCTGTGTATGTATGATTTACCACCGTTTTGCCGCGTTTCTCTATTAACAGTGAAGCTGTGGCTTTAATTCCTTTAGAAACAATGATGTTACCAGCTCCTGGTTGAGAAAGATAATGTATCTTTTGAGCGATTAAGCCATTTTATTGATAAAATTGCGGGGTAGCGCTAAAAAGTTTGTTGCTGAATGTATGTGCGCGCACGCAACGTGATCTGTTTGAGTGACTGAACACGTGTGCGTTAGATACAGTGAAGACAGCGCATTAGTTTAGAACTCTTCTAATTTATTTTTAAATGTAGAAAATGTGTTAATTTGTGCTAGGTTAAATAATGATAACCTACCAGCAATGTAAAGATGATTTTTTAATATATTAGTATGAGTATTGAGTACATTACAATATAAATTTATTAGAACAAGTACATTATTATTTATGGGCTTAAAAACAAGATGCAAACAATCAGAATATTGTACCTGGTGGGGAGTGCCCTGATTTTTTTTATATATTAGAATGAGTACATTACAATATAAATTTATTAGAACGAGTACATTATTATTTATGGGCTTAAAAACAAGATGTAAACCATCAGAATATTGTACCTGGTGGGGAGTGCCAAATGTAAACATGAAACATATGCCACTACCTATATTGTACTGTGGTACAGTTATGGAGGCCCTTCATAATGCAGAGGTCAGCTGCCTGTTCTGCCAATAGTTAGAATTGGCCCTATAGTATGCCGTGCATATTAAATAGCAGTTTTACTCAATTCTGCTGAGGTGAAATTCAGTGCAGTCCTGCATCATACGTATCATATCGTGACATTTGTATCGTGATACGTATCGTGACTTTGCTGGTGATACACAGCCCTAGAACAAACCACGTTTGATGCCATTGAATACCTAGCCTATGACATCAGATGAATTTTCCATTGAGGCAGCAAAACAACTAAACTCTGTTATGTCTAACAAACACCCCTTCTAAGTAAGTTCTACCTTGCTTAACACGCTGTATTTTCTGTTTACTTCATGCTACCCAATCGTCCTCACATGAGGTAATAAGGTAAAGCAGACTTGCTGCTTGCTACGTAGTCAGTACCGTGGTAAACGGCATTGCAAAGTCACTACCAGGTGAAACTTTTCTGCTGTCGCACTTTGTAAATATATATATATATAAAAAAACATGCCACCCATCCCTTGCGGGCAAAAAGCGCTTATAAAATGAAGGACTATCCTAGAGACATCTGATGCTGTGATTCAAAACTCACAAGAAAGCAGAAGCAAAGCAAACTTTTGCAACAGGAAAAGAGAGAAAGCAGAGATTACATCGCCTGAAGATGAAGACAGAAGGTCACGCACAAAGTGGTCTTGTTCATAACAGTGGTCATCACATGATGTTCAAGAGACTGTTCAGCGTCAACACTCCAGGCTGGCTGGATCACACAGGCTGCATCATATGACCCCGCCTCCATGACTTTACCAGCCCGGACCTCCTCCTCCTCATCCTCGCATCGGTTCCCAAGTGCTCTCTGAAGACTCATGGCAGGCCTGTGTTTATGTTTCAGGTCCTCTTCACTCACATCCCCCTCATAAAGACAGTTATTGCTGGTTTGACCTTTGGGGTCAGAGATTCTTTTCTCATGAAACCCACTGCGGCTGCCGAATTAGGGCTCCTTTTCTCAGCTGTTCCTGGAACATGCTTCCATTTACGATGATATGTAATCTTAGCGCTATGAAGTTCAAATGGGCGAGGACATCAGGCTATTTAGCTTAGAGATAAATTCGATTTAATGAGGGACGGAATAAACTGATATCTAAGAAGAGAATTGCACCTATGAATACTGCCTGTGACTTTATTATAGTTTAACGGCAGTTCATTGTTTCAACTGCCAAATTAGCAAACACTAAGTTCGAGAGCTATAGTTCTAAATCTTACAGCTATTGTTCTCTAATAACTATGGCTCCATGGAACCTTTAACACTTTGTGGAAGTGGAAAAAGGTTCTAAGGTGTTCTTTACACTGAGAAAAAAAAAGTTATTTTATGAACTGTTGACTGAACCCAAAATGGTTCTTCTATGGCATTGCTGTGAACCCACCACCTTTTTGAAACTTTATTTTTAGTGTAGTTTACTTTGTGTCTTTTGTGTACAAAATAAGTTTCAAGCCGACAAGCAATGCAACTTGTGCACAATATTCTAAGGCTTTTGAAGCCATAGGATAGCTCGGTCTGACAAACGGACACAAATTTAAGAGAATATTATTCAAAATTCTTGCCTTCTACCACAGTCTCATTCACACTTCCAAATATTCTAGCTTGGCACTATAATGTGACGTGAAAAAGTCAATAGTCACAGTCACTAAATCTGTAAATATTTTGAGTTAATGTGACACTGCCATCTTCCTTTGAGCTCCACACAAGGAAGTCAAACAGGTTTACAAGGACATGGGTGCGAGTAAATAGCAGTTTTGCCATTTTGGGGTGAACTATACCTTTAACTATGATGTCAGATCATGTTAGTCATTCAATGGAAATGAATGGCCAAGATCAGTTGAGGCAGGCGGTTCACTATTGTTTGAAACCCAGCCTGAGTGTGACTAATTCAAGTAAACACACAAGCACTTACCGCTCTCCATCTCATTGCCCTTGTTCTTGGCGGTGGGCGCGTTGCCCATGATTGCAGGCCAGGTATAACAGATCTAAATCGACTTGTCTTGACGCCAACTGTCTTCAGACTCCGTCCCCTGACTGCTCATACGATTTCTGCGTCCGTTGCACTAGCTGTGTCTGATCATAACTCGCTGGATCACAGTACGCTGTCAGACCACATAAAGTCTGGAGGTTGATAGTAGCTGGTTAGTTGGTTAGCTAGCTAGCGAGCGAGCGCTAGCTAGCTAACAGTAGCTGTCTGGTTGCAGAGCTTCGGTTTTGGTAACGTCTCTCAGCTCTCCTGGGTCGGGTCCGGTCCGCTGAAATAGCACTAAGAGCCCGTCTTCTTCTTCTCTCGCTCTGCTAACCCTCAGCGAGGCCCTCGACTTTCCTCTTGAGCGCCACGAGCCCTTGTTTTCACCGTCCGCGCGCGATTCCGGTCGCAGCACGCCGACTTCGCCGCACCTTTTCGGTAGCGTGATCGTTTGCTTGTTTATGTTGATGAAGCGATTCGGTCGTGTGCGCTATGTAGCTCGCATAATTCGGCAGTCAGAGCCCTTCCATTAATCCTCAATCCACAGCTACAGGGAACTCCTGCTTCAGCGAGATCTACGCGATGCCTATTGGCCGTTACGCTTGTGACGCGCTTGCAGAGCGCGCAGCTGATTGGACAAGAGCTCAGCAATCCAACGCAGGGAGAGCGATGATTGGCCAAACGCTATCAATCTGCAGGATTTTATCCCACCCCCGCAAACTGACAAATAACGTCATCTATTTTCATTTTATGAACACAGGTTTCTCTGTTTCGCGTTCCGTCTTTGTATGCGGGCGCGGTGTTTTGCTTTCTCAATACAGAATCGGTTTCATTCATAATCCTTTGATAGTCCTCAGCGGTGTGTTTGTTAGCGAAATGGCCGCGCAAACCCCTCCCCCTGGACTAATCCGCGACAGGCTGTATGACGTCAAGACGGTCTATTTTTAGAAAGTTGGTCAGAATTTGAAAACGCGAACACCCTACGTCTATGGAATATTAAAACGAGGTCTGTCTTCTGCAAAACAACCACGCTGAGGTCATATACGCAGGTATAAGCATTGCATTTTGGCAACTAATGCGCTTGCTCGGTTGCAACGGATTTGTCTTGCAGGACACGGAAAACGAGCCCTAACCAACGCAGTTGTGTGATGCACATGTACGAGCAGGTTGCATGCTCAACCGCAAAAATACCGTGCAAGAACATGAAGAGCAAAACCCACAATGTGACACTAAATTAAACACCGATTTAAAAAAAAAAAAAAGACGCTACTTTGAGGTCTTGTCACAGATGCTGCAATAGTCCATGTTGCCAAGCAACAAGCAAGCGGCTTGTGTCAACTCCAAACATGGTGAACTGCTGCATAATGCAACAACAGCTTTTTTTATGAATGAAAAGGCTGCACAGCTGCATCCACTCTGTGCACAACGCAAATCAAAGTAAAACAACTTCAATGACCATTATCACGTAACAAAACATTTATTTCATTGAGAACTGGCATACAAAAAAGACAGAGAGATATATATATATACACACACACACACAATATAATACAGTCCCACCTACAAAAATATTGTCTGCTGCAACCTTTTACACAATTTTTCTGATGGTGTCTGTTAAATGAATAATGCATTTGACATCTTATCTGCTGAGCTGATCTTCCATCCCCTTTCGGTTTGAGAAAGGATCAGTTTTGGATCAAAAGGCTGATGGCATTAGATGCAGCACATCCTAATACCTAAATCATGTCTTAGATTCATGACTCACCAGCTCTCCATTCACGTTTCGAACTGAAAAGCAAACATGTTTATTGCATACCGGAGGATTTGCCATATTCTGCACACCACTGATTTGTTTCGAATAGGTGACGACTGTAAGAAATTTGATTAATTAGATACATTTTTATTTCTGATGTGTTTGAATAATCCCGTCTCTCCTCGACAGTGTCCAGATTGACCTGAGCTCACGGATGAGCCTTGAGATGTGAGGAATATTCACAGGAGCCTGCGTCACTACAAACAGTCCATGGAGTTGTCTGGCAGCAGGCCGAGTGGAGGGGCTTTTCCCGGAGTGCAGGATGGGGGCAGCATGCTGTTGGGTGCAGGGTCCACGTTCTCTGAATCCTCCATTTTCTCAGCACATCCCTCCCAGTTGATGTGAAATCTGGTTACACGTGGGTTGGAAGCCAGAATGTTCCTCTGGAGCTGAAAGCAAGCAGATAAAAAGGGCTTTGAATACACACTTTAATTTTACAGGGATGCAAATTCATCAGGGATGAAAAAAGTGACAACAACACAACACCCCCTAGGGAAAAGTTGTAAAATATATCTTCAAAATGTTTATTTACAATCAATTTTAGCATGTTGTCTCTGGCCACATTCACACTTTTGTTTTTATGGAATCCATTCAATGTTTATGAAAGCTTGTTTCTGCCACAGAATAACAAAAATAAAGGTAATTGCAACATTTTATCTGACGTTTTTGATGCAATTCTGAGATAAGTCAGAAATGTGAGATATAAACGTACAATTGCAATACAAAAGTTCGAATTGTGGGATAAAAAGTCACAATTACCTTTTTAATTTATTATTATTATTTTTTTATTCTGTGGCGGAAGCAAGATTCTATAAAATGTAACTATAAAATAATAATAAAAATTTTTCTTTTATATTTGATTACATTTCATAAATTAAACCAATAAAGAATTTTTTAAAAATGCACACCGTTGTTTTCAATGCAACTCTTTCAATATTACAATACAATAATAATGATAATTATTATTAGTAGTAGTATATTAGTATTAAATTACGTAAATTAAACAAAGAAATATTACTATAGTAATAATAATACCTTTATTATACAAATATATATTTATTTTACAAAATGTTATTTTATTAATTGAAATCTGAAAGCACTGTGACTTACGGTAACCCTCATAATAGTCCACACCTTTTTTGCACCATTTTTATATGAATTGCTACTAAGGAGTTATATTATGCACTACAGTTGTATATTTGACACGTTTTATTCAGATAAAACTGAAGATACCTCTTAATAAAACTATTAAAACCCAAAGAAATGGCTTTACGAGTACAGTGTTCGTTCTTGTATTGCCGTACACCATATGAAACAGCAAGTTGGGGCCAGATATACTGAAGAACTCATCTGTTTTTAAAATAACCAATGGCCTTTAGTTTACATAGCAGCCATTCATTTTCTACTTGATATTGATAGTCCAAAACAGGTGTTATTAAAGTCAACAGTCTTTTCTTCCCTATTATGACATATATCCAAGCTAAATGGCTTATTGAGTGAGATTTTTTTCCCCTAATTAATTATTTATATTTATTTAGGATATATTTTTTTCACATTTTGATTCCAATGTCTAAATATTCTTTATTTTATATAAAATTTTTTGCTCTTTGCAAGTGTGTACTTGCATTATTATGCTATTATATTGTCATACTGTCATTAATCAGTGGCATAAAATGTCTTAAAATGGCAATAATATCATTTATCGCAATTCATTTTGGTGCGATATATCGCACAACAAAAATTTGTTATCGTGACAGCCCTACTATCTTATTCTAAATTGTATTTTTGGACAACAATTTATAGTGAACATGTGAGTGAAAAATGAGATGATATTTTTTGGTTTCATTTTTGTTATGTATATTTCCTATAGCTAGAACACAGATGGATGAAAAGCGGCAAAACTCTAGAGTAAGAAACATGGTGACATACCTGTCCATAGTCAGGTTTGAGGGGCGGATTCTCACGAAGCTCAGTGTCTGTGTACTCATTGTTAACATAGTAGCCAATGCGTATGAACTCCTGTCCTCTGTATGTGCATGTGATCAGAACAACAGTGACACCCACAGCATCACTCTCAGGTATTAGGGCGGTGTTTGGAGCATCTGCCTGTTGCATGAAAGACAAAAATACCATAACAGAAAGTAATGAGGGAAAGAAAAGTATGACTTAGAATACGTGCATGACTCTAACTGGGTGTAACTGCAGGATAAGTGCAATAATTAGCTTTCTGTGTGTACATTTAATATAGAACAACATTATAAGAATAGTTCACCTATAAACCACACTCATGTAGTTTCAAATGCACAACACACAAAAAAAATGTTTACTCATGTTCTGCTAGCTAAATCTACTTTTGTGTTGCACAGAAGAAAGTTAGGCAGGTTCACATGAATGAGTTCATTTACAATTTTTAATGAACTGCCCCTTTAATTTGAGTCCTTTTATTATATTTTAATAAGAGTTTTGAGTCCTGAAAATTTACAGGTGCGGTTGTCACTCCCATAAATAACCGAAATGTGTGAATGCAGCCGTATGAATAACTCAAATACAGGACTGACAACTTTACTCTGCTGCTGTGTGACAACATGTAATCTTTATAAATAATCTCAGTTATAGTTGTGGTGAGATTGTAGCTATAAAAGTACTGATGAAATGCAAAAAAAAGTTACATTAAGCAGACGCAACACTTTGAAAATAGCTAATTTATACCTTATTTGTGTTATTTACAAAGTAGAATTGTCCTAGAATATATGTTAAAGGGGTCATATGATGCTACTAAAAAGAACATTATTTTGTGTATTTGGTGTAATGAAATGTGTTTATGCGGTTTAAAGTTAAAAAAACACATTATTTTCCATATACTGAACATTATTGTTTCTCCTCTATGCCCCGCCTTTCTGAAACGCGTCGATTTTTACAAAGCTCATCGGTCTGAAAAAGCGAGGTGTGCTCTGATTGGCCAGCTATCCAATGCGT